AAAAATATGGGAATTAAATAAACACATGGTTACAAAATTTCTACATTTTATAGTGAAGTAGTAAAATATTGACTGTAAGTAAACTGTTAAAAGTTAAGGCTATATTTCTTTTTATCCCTAGAGGAACCACTAAAAATGTAAAGAGTTTTAACTAAAAAGTCAGTAGAAATATTAAAGTTGAATTCTAAAAAATATTCAATTAACTCAAGAGAAGGTAGAAATAGAGGAAGAGAGGAACAGAGAAAAACAGAAAACAAATCCTCTGTATGAAGGTAAGCTAACAGACCTACCTAAATCCAACTTATCTATAATTACATTAAATGTTAATGGACTAAAAACTAAAAGGTAGAGATTGTTAAAAAATATATAAATAAAAAATTCAGCTATCTGCTTTTTACAAAAAAATAAAAAACACTAAATTGAAAGACACACGTAGTTTGAGGGTAACCTGTTGCAACTGAGTTGATTCTAACTTGTAGTGACCTTATACGGCAGAGTGGAACTGCCCTATAGAGTTTCCAAGGTAGTAATCTTTCCAGAAATAGATTGTCACATCTTTCTCCTATGAAGCAGCTTGTGGGTTCAAGCAATCATCCATTAGGTTAGCAGCCAAGCACTTAAACACTGCACCACCAAAACTCCTTAATTTGAGGGTAGATAGATATATGATGCAAACCTTAAGCATTAAAATCTGTAGGGCTTTATAAGAGCAGATAAATAAGACTCTGGGACAGAAAGTATTACTAGAGATAAATAAGTATATTTCATTATGATAAGTGGATCAATTCATCAGAAAGACTAACAGCCATGAATGTGTGTGCAACTAATATAAAAATTCAAAATGTATGAAGCAAAAATTGACTAAATTAAAGAGAGGAAGAGAATATTGTACAAGATTTTAACACACATCTCTATATCAATAAATACATAGAGGATCTAAACAAGGCAATGATTTTCACCTAATTAACTTTAAAAAATAAAAGAAAAATGTCTCTATGTGCAACAACTGATGAAAATATATTCTTTTAAGGTACTGATAGCATGATTATCAAAGCAAGCTATAGTCTAGACCATACAAAGAAACTAAATAAATTTAAAAGGATTAAAACTGTACAAGAGTATGTTCTCTGATCATAATAAAATAAAATTAGTAATAAATAATAATAACATTCTTAAATGCAAATATTTGGAAATTAAATAATCTATAAATTAAAAAATAAATCATAGCATACATTAGGAAATATTTCTATCAAATGAAAATGCAGCATAATAAAATTTATAGGAGGCAAAATGGTGTCTGGTCAGCAGTCCCCAAGCTAATTCCCTCTAGCATCTTAGTGCCTGAAAAACAAGGTGTAACAGTTTGAAATAGGGATTCTTGTACTGTGAACAGCTCACTGAGTCAGAGTACAACAAACTCAGGGGAGTAGGATTAGAAAGGAGAAAGGAGCATGGGGAAAATAACAAAAACAAGGGAATCTGTCCTGTGGAGCACTGATGAACAGGTGAGAAAGACTATAGGAGACTGCCCTGAGGGAGCGCTGACTGGCAGGTGAGAGGGGCCATCAGGGACCTCCCTGGATTAAGGAAGAAGATGCACCACACCAGTATACCAGTGCTCACTCCATGGATTTACCTTCTGCTCCTGCTTTTAT